TGAAGTCGGGCAGAATGAGGTATTGAGAGTGGTCTGTGTTCGTTCCGTCCAACTTGGTATCATAACGTTATTATCTGTTCGTGCTCCTCCCCTCAGGGCCCCTCGACCCCCAGATATCCACCATCACCCCTAGACTTACCCACTTCTAATCACATCCCACTCCCCATCTCACCATGCTCTGCTTCCGTCCGATCAAGTCCGACATCAGACAGGGACGAATCATACTAGAGATCTAACACTGAAGGCAGGTCACTGTCATGGAAGGAGGTACGTGGATTCCGCGTTATCAGGGTATGTCTAACTTTGCGTTTGGTTAGATTTCCCATTCCTAAGTTGCATTTTTCAACGGAAAAATTGCAATATTTTGAAATTAAGTTCCGATTTTGTTTATGATTTTTGGTGGTGTAATAACTAAGATCCTCTTTTTTTTTTTTTTTTTTTTTTTTTTTTTTTTTTATTTACATTTTGACTTCTACATTTAGAAATAAGAAATATTGTACTAGCTTACAATAATAAATAACTATTGTCGACCAAAAATGTAGGTATACAATTACTTAGTCTTATTTCTAAAAACACTTAGATCATCAATATCTGATCGGAGCGGTTACCCTCAAGCGCAATTTTATCTCTATAAAATCGCGTTCAATAAAATCGAAATTTTATCTCCAACTATCACACTTTTTCACAAGAAAGCAGTCAATACACCCGAAGCAACAATGATCCCGATCATTAGCGACTGGATCGGCGCATGTATTCGATTTTTCGACGTCGATTTATCGCAATATTTTCGGATACAAAATTCCGATGAACTGCGATTTCATCGCATACATTTGCAAGAAAAGCGCAATTTCATCAACGGCGATCTATCGCAATACTACCGAACGAAAAATCGCGATAATCGGAGATAATTTTCGATTTTATCAAACGCGACTTTACAGTCATAAAATTGCGACAAGATTGAGAATAATCGTTTAGATGTTGATGATGATCCAAGCGATTTTATCGCAAAAAATCGCAAATTAATTTGAAAAGATGGCGATTTCTCCGTTGAAAAATCCTACTTGGGTAGGGCTGACGCTAACCCGGTGAGGTTTACATGACCGTCGGTGGGAGGGCAATTTTCCGAGGCCAGCAATACTGGCGTGCTATGGAAGAACGCCGTATGAACATTCAAGAGTTGCCAGATTTCCTTCGATAAAATGTTTATTTTTGAAGAGAGCTGTTGATATTTTCAGGAACTTCAGGTAAAATTGGGAGTAAAATTATCAGAAAAATTGGAAGAAAAATATTCACGAGTTTACGAGGAATTTCGTGTTTTATCAATGGAAATTTGGCAAGGCCTGGAGGTTGATACGGCGTTTTTGCTTAGGACGGGAGAATAGGGCGGCGGCGGCGGCGGCGTCTACGCTGTTAGTTGCTCGAGCCTGGTCGCGCCGTCGCTTCGATTATTATCATTTCTATTATTTTCATTTCGTCTTTCGCATCCCAACTTGTTTCCGAGCGCAGCGCGGCGCGGCGCGTTCGGAGTTAATCCGGGATTTACGGAGCGGATATCCGCTGCTTTCCCGCTCGTTCATTTTCCTCTCATCCGAGAAAAAGTTAACGTCAGATTCGCTCAAGCTCCCTTCTCGGCTCTCTGGGCTCGGCTCCGCATCAATTTACCGACCTAGTTAATTAGTTTTCTTTCTCCCACGAATCCTTATACGATTCCCGCTCTCCAGATCCGATTCTTCTCGGACGTCTCCGCTCCTTCACGCCGGAAAATATGACGAACTCTGCCGTGCTAAGGAAGAATGCCGTATGAACATTCGAGAGTTGCCAAATTTCCGTCTATAAAATGTTTATTTTTTAAGAAAGCTATGGGTAAATTCCCTTGAAATTTTCAGGAAATTTAGGTGAAATTGCGAACAAAATTATACGAAAATTTTTTGGAAAAACTTTTACAAATTTTCCGGAAAGTTCGTGATGTATGAAAGGAAATTTGGCAACGCTTGGAGGCTCAAACGGCGTTCATCCTCAGTACGGCAGAGATCTAGGAGGGAGAGACCTCAGAATAAAATTGAACCGATTAACTTCCAAATCACGTGAGCGCCAGAATTGCCAATGCGAGAAAACCCGTTTTATTCGCTTTGTTGACAATCTTCGAATTCCGAAAAATCTATGCTCTTTCAGAAGGGTATTTTGAAATCAGACGTGGTCGATTATACCAGAAAAAACAACCTCCTCACCACCGAAATAGAGATTGGCGCTCACGTGATTTGGGAAGTAATCGGTTCAAATGTATAAGAGTCCATTTTTTTGTCCATCCCTACAGGATCTGTATCAGCTGAAGGGTAAAAATTCAAAACCTAGTAATCTAGCGGCACTCTTGCAGGGTTTTTTTAATGGAAAAAACCTAAATAGTTGATTTCACATCAACAGGAATAGTTAAAATGGGAAGGACCTCGATGAATAAAGTGCGTCAAATACAACCGAATTTCACTACTTCACACTAAAGGTCCCCCTCTTTTTGCCAGCCCTGGCACATCAATTTTAGTACAACTGGGCAATTTAAGTTTCTTCATGAAATCGGCTGTAAAAACGGATTTTTGTGCAAATTTCAGAGAATTTTCTGCATCGTACGAAGCGAAGTCCTTGATATATACGTAGGAATCCGGACAAATGTTCTTTTGTAAAAAATTAAATTGTCCGGTTTAATTTGGCGATAGTTAATGTGGCTTGGTTCCTTTCTGCTGAACGCGGTCCAAATAGGCGCTAAAGAAAATATTTAAAAATTTCCGTTCAGCTCGATTTAACGATTGAACCAGTTTTAATTGGACCGCATCAAGCAGAAAGGAATGAAGCGATCAGCTATTGACAAATTTAATCGGGCCCTTCAATTTTATATGGAAATGGTTGTGCGGATGACTGCAGATTTCGGTGAATTTTTTGCATGGCACAAAGCAAATTCCTTCGAATTTTCAAAAGAATCCGCGCAAATGTTCTCTTGTAAAAAATTAAATTGCCCAGTTAAATTCGGCAATAGCTGATGTGACTTGATTCCACTCTACTAAACGCGGCCCAATTTCTGTACCTCCTACGTGCAACAAACTGTTTCACTTACGGCTAGCCATTATTATGATTATGTAGCATTACGTCCATGCTCACCCTTGATATACTTGCCTGCTTATCTCGTCCAAGATCTTGGACTCCATGCTTATCGCCAAACTTCCCACTTCTTTGCTTGAGCATGGAGTCCAATAGCAAGTAGACCTTTCTTAGTTTTAAAGTTCATTATGATAGAAAATCGTATACTTCTTTTTATCTAATCTAACTTAACCTAACCTAACCTAACCTATAACTTAACTTATCCAATGCACAATTTTTTACAAAAACACTTTTTTACGTCTTTATTTCACACAAATTGTCTTAGTAAATTTCTGGACCATATGCTCGTGTGTTGTCAGAGAATACCTTCATCCCGCAATTTTGGACTCTATGCTCACTTCGATTTTTCTAAAAAATTATCCCTCATTAAAGTGAGCATGGAGTCCAAGATCTTGGACGTGATGAGCAACCGATGTGATCATGGAGTCTAATATCATGGACGCGATGCTTCATTACCATTATTACTGCCGTGCTGAGGAAGAACGCCGTATGAAAATTGGAGAGTTGCCAAATTTCCCATGATAATACATGTATTTTTGACAACATCTACGCATATTTTTTCTTAAATTTTTCAGATATTTAAGATCAAACTGCGTAAAAAATTATCTGAAAATTTGGAAAATAATTTTCAGAATTTTCCTAGTAAATCGGAGTTATCGGAGGAAACTTGGCAACGTCTGAAGGCTCATACGGCGTTTTTCATTAGCACGGCAGATTACTGAGGACGCGCTCATTGCAGGTGAATCGGGACGGGATATTACACATCCCTCGGGAAAGTCGTGGCGGCGTGGCTCGACACAACACCTAAAAGTTTAGAGTTCGCAACAAGGTTGTGGGCGCAGATCGCCGGAACGACTCGTGGCTAATTTGGCCGGGGCCGCGGCGGCGAGGCGTCGAAGCGAAAATCAAAGGAAAGAAACGGCCGCACGTAAATTGCCCCCCCCCCCCCCGCCCCTCGCCCCCCACCGAAGCGCGCCCGGCCCGACGACCCCGGGAAACTTTCCGGAATTAGATTAGTCGCCCGGAAAGTCGTAAAAGGCGACGTCGCCGCGGTCGGAGGTGTCGCAACCGACAACAGTGCCGTGCTAAGGAAGGACGCCGTATGAGCTTTCAGACTTTGCCAAGTTTCCTCCAATAAAAACCGAATTTACTGGGGAAATTCTGAAAATTATTTTCCAAAATTTTCAGACAATTTTGTATGCAATTGAATCTAAAGTATCTGAAGATTTCAAGGAAAAATATGCATGAATGTTGTCAAAAATACATGTTTTATCGAGGTAAATTTGGCAACTCACGAATGTTCATACGATGTTTTTCCTTAGCTTGGCAGAACAGTTGTCGCGTCGAAAATTCGTCGCTCCTCTGGCGTAAGGACGTATCTCGCTCTCCGTATGAGCTCCGGAAAGCATGTGTTTACATGTAAAACAGGGCTCGTAGGGAAATTGAGATACGCCCTTACGTTAAAAGGGCGTCGAAAATGGTGCCCTCCATTTACCGCCAGAGCGCGGTAGTGGCGTCAGAGGGGATGGGATATGGGGGGCAGTCGCTACCCCTACGTCTTTCTCTCAAACTCCGTGCAGCCGCACAGCACCTCGGACTGATGTCCGTAGATGACTGTAAGATAAGTGGACTGAGGTGAACAGAAAGAGGTTAAATTTTTGAGGCGAACAAGTCAATTCGGGTAGCAACAGGGGTAACCTAACTCGAGGCATCAATTCGGGTGATTATATCTTTTACACTCCCGTAAAAATTCACGAAACGTTCCATGGTGCGTCGTTGCTTGGTTTTTACCAAAAAAAAAAAAAAAAAAAAAATTCCCGGGAAAAAATGATGCGATGGAAAACGCAGTGGGGTAATTTTAGGTAAATCCATTCAATTTGATGTAAAACCACATATACATGTCTATAGCCACTAGGAGTCTATTCAAGTGGTGGGTGAATCGTGGATGTTGGCGAGATCCACCTCACCGGCGACTACCAACTCCTCCAAGAGACACTCGTTGGCACCGCGGCGGAGCTTGAAGAGCCCCTTCTGTCCCCAATCTGTGCCCCAGGAGTTCGTGGCCAGCCAATAGTCGACTCCCTTCTCCTGACCCCAGCCGATGAGCCTCACTCCGTGACCGCCCAGAGCCACCCCTTTCGTATGTCTGTACACACCTTGAAAGAAGAGAAACAAAAAAGAAAAGACGTGGAATGCAGTTTTAAACATTGTACAAAAGACCTGGGATAATTTTGGAGCCTGGAGGACAAACTCACTGATAAAAATATGTGTGTTCTTGTGCTACTTTTGGTTGTACAGGAAGTGAAACACAAAGCAATACAAATTTTGTGTTGATTTTGGTACAGTTTTAGGTGAATTTAGCGCGGGAAACAATGGAGAGATCGGGAAAACGCATTCTTCCGATTGCGACGTTGGTATTCACTACTCGCTTTTTAATAGACTTCTTCAAGAAAACCAGCGGACATTTTCTTTTGAAACTGTCAATCGAAGCCTAGGGTTATTTTGTGTTTTACTTCCCGTATTAGCCAAGCTTTTGTGTTGATTTTACTCTTCATGCGGGATAAGCGCAGTTTTAGCAATTTTAAGAAAGACGCGTTTAAAGGTTCGAGATAACATGGAGTCTCACTCCGAGAAGAAACTTCAAACTCACTTTTTGATGCTTAAAAATTTGATCTTGTTGATGAATTTCTCACAGAGTATATTTTGAGACTAGTTTTTGTCGGAATCAATTATACCTCAATTTTTTTGAAAACTACCTTTATGCGCCTTGTCCTCCGAGCCCCTCAATTGAAGGATGGATATACTTGCTTAGAATCTGAGTAACATGAATTGTTTTATAAATACAAGGTCAACTGAAGACTCTAGTAACTTCACTGAGAATACCTACATATTATGAGAGTTACAAATTTAAGAAAATTTCAAGAATTGAAAAATCTAACACTCACCTTTAGAATAAAGCAGGAAGTCGCTGTAAACGATAAAAGCACCGACTTGCGGACCATTAAGCATGAGATCCCACTGTATTTTTGTTGTATTCCTATCGTCAAACAGGTAGTAGTTTTTCGCTGTAAAAGTCAAAATTGTATAATTGAAGATCCAAGGCTACGTCCAATGATATGACATCATTGTGTTAAGCAGGAACCCGGTTTTTTTTTCAAATTAAAAAATAAAAAAAAAAGAATTAACTAAAATTGAAAGTTTTAGCAGGGTTCAGTCCGACTAGCCTCGTGAACGATGACCCCTTTTCATATTAACATAATGTTCAACGTTATCTCAGCAATACTCCATTGTGAGATTTACATTTTTAGCACATATACAAGCATTAATTAATGCTTAACAATGTAAAATGTTCAATTCTGTGGCATGCTGTAGGCTCAAAATACGCAGGGAGGAGAAATGCGATATCTTGCATGGGAGAATAAGGCGTGGGCCGATAGCGGGCTAACCTAGCGTTATACGTTATACTCTTATAATTGGACGTATTTCTGTCAAACGGAACTATGTGCATTAAGACATGAGTCCTAGGACCCATAAGAACGCATGCATAACAGGGCTCACGTCATGATGCACATAGTTCCGTTTGATAGAAATACGTCCAATTGTATATCATAGAGTGTGATATAGGTAGCAAACATCCATAAAAGCATAGTGTGTAAATCGTACACACGATTTGCAGTATTTGTTGCATTAGTAAAAATAACCGTATTTCTGAAGTACGAGGATTGTCACTGAGTCAAATTCATGAAATATTTCAAATAGAGTAACTTACTTTTGTACCGCTTCTCTTTTTCGAACGGTATTGGGTATTTAGGATTGGTGCACTTATTTTCGCATTTCTTCGCTTCTGTATAGTCTATGTTCATGGTGGCGGTGTTGTCTCTTGGTTTCATACTGTACGGTTTGCATCCCTGCGAAGAAAAGGAGAAACAATGAGCTATATTCGATAGAACTTTCTCAGGTCCGATTTGATCAGGGCTTACTTTAATGACGAATATATTTTAAAGGTTATTTTGGATTTTGGTCGGAAACTTATATTTGACCTCAAAATTTCATCCACTGCTCTTGAGTCAGGTTTACACAAACATTTGATTCCCCAAATACAGACCGAATAAAACTTAAAAATTAGTTATTGGCCGAAACGAGTTCGATCAAAGTTTTTAAGCACGCCGATGCCCAACATATCCTTGGAACATACGTCGATGGTTAGCACTAACTAACTTACTAACTAACTAACTAACTAACTAACTAACTAACTAGTGCCAAACTACGTATCTCTGTTTGCTACGTTGCAAACCAAAAATCTGAATTTTTGTACATGTACCCATCTTTCATATTCTTTGTAGACATTAATAGCCTAAACTGCTGAATGTCTCTAAATAAATGCACTAAGTAACTAATTGTCATACTCCGTTTTTTCTTTAGAGAACCAATCAACGTAATGGACAATTTCATGCCAATTTTTCATTGCTTCATCTGAAAGTGCTTGAAGAGCTGATTTCACACTGTTTTTTATACTTTTTTTCTAATATGAGAAATAGTTTAAAAATAGATTTATAAGTGAGAAAATGGACCTAGTGAACTAATCTGGCGGCATTTCCCATTTAAACAATATAGTTCAGCAGATTAGATCATTTTGTCATATCTTCCCCAATAATCGTTTGATTCATGAACCAAGGGTATCCTCTTGTTCAGTTCACTCAGTAGTTTCCACTTAAACACGGAATTCATCAAAATCCAGACACCTGTAAATTCTCTATTTCTGTAGAAAAGTGACTGGATTTTTATTTTCTAGGAGCAGACGATTATGTATAAATTTCATGCCGTAAGCTAAAGTTGGCTTCTTCATCTCGAAAGAATAAAATTGAGCGGAAATTTTCAAAGATCGTATGGAGATACGTGGTGGTGGCATTTTGGGCAGGAACGTAGGATACGTACAATTTGTGAGCCGTAGTCTCCACCGGTGATCTCTCCGTTCTCGGTGAAGTGTTTGAAGGTTTTGATGGGGTTGCCACCGTTGCAGCCGTTGCCGCACGACTTGCAGCAAGTGACCAGACTCTCGGCCGATATGAACACGTTCACCTTCCCCTCGGACGCTATGCACAGCCGATCCGAAAGCACGCTCGCTGCTGACACCGCCTCAAATATCATATATAATATATGAATAATAATCATAATTAAACTTTAATACGCTCCTTCTTTTAGCAATTTAACAAAATTATTTGAAGATTTTTAAATAAATGCGAACAAAGAAAAGAGAAAAGTAACATAATAAAACTACACACTAAGGTTGGACCTTGTGTCGGGTGGGGTCTTATTAATTGATAAACTTAATGTTAACTGATTATTTGAAAATGAAATAAAGGCGGAACAAGAAGAAAAAAAGAAGAAAGAGAAAGAAAGGAAGGAAGGAAGGAAGAAAGACTCAACTCCTGCGGGCTTATTTTTGAAATTTATAGAAAAAGCTATAAGCAGACATATAAGACTATAAAGAAGACAAAAGGGTTATGGAGAGGGGGGGATCCTATCGGTAGAAGCGGGTGGTTGCAATATAAAAAGAGGGTAGGCAATAGACTATTTAACGGCAACCCACGAGAGATCCGATAGTTAGTCCATCATTTTCTCCTTTTTTCCATAGGAATCACTCATTTTAACCAATAGGATCGCTCCTTACTCCCTATGTCTTCTATGTCTATCAGTATGTCTATCAATTTCAACAATCAGCCCGCTGGAGCTAACTCGTCAGATTCACTTGACAAGTCTGGCACTTTTTGTAGCAAACGGTTCAAAGATTTTCTAAAACCCATTTCGTTATATTGAAGTCAGATAAGCTAATGAGGCAAAAATTAATTTCTAATTAATAATGTTGATATCTTCCAGACAAATATTTGCCTCGCAAAGACTTTCGCCCTCTAAGATTCCGTTAAAATCAAGATAATCAAATCCAGTCTTTACTTCAATCAAGGTTCCTTCCTAATGAGCACATCCTTCACAGAAAAGCTCCCCCAGTGTCGCCAGGTTAACGAGCAAAATAAACAAAATCGTTTCATTATTTTACTTATTCATCTCTACATCAAATTGTGTCAATACACTTTGTGGAAAAATCGATGAAATTTGAGTATTTTTTTTTTAATCTAATGTTGACTGATGCATATTGAGCCGAGCAGTTTGCGAAGCGAATCCGTAGGATTGGGTCTTCTTTGCTTTAAAAAAATTGGCTTGTCCTCGTTTGATCCAATTGGGACTGAAAATGGACGCGTTTAGCAAAATGGAACCCAGCCACATCGGCTTTTGCGAACTTTAAGTGGGCAATTTAATTTTTTACAAGAGAACATTTGTGTAGATTCCTTTGAAAATTTTAAGGAATTTACCTCGTGCTGTACAGACAATTCAGTAAAACTTGCACAAAGAACCGCACAGCCGTTATCATGCAAGAAATTTACTTGTCCAATAAAATTTTGCAATAGCTGATGTGTCTGGGTTCCTTTCTACATGACGCGGTCCAAATCGCCATGTGAGTACTGAGAAAAACAAGACGTACTTGCCCTTTACAATGACAAAAACACGAAGACATTTTAAAATGGGTTTAGCAAACAAACGTTCCGAAACGTCCAGATTGAGCTACCTCTTATTACAGTTTCATCCGCGGTATCCTATTTTTTTAGAGGACGTCTCTTTGTATATAATCAATTAGCAATCGCCGGCAATATGCAAGCCAGTGGTGAATATATATGGAAAATCCTATAATTCAAAAGTAAAAGAACAAGCTTTGAGTGCTGATTATGTCGCATATAATGTGAATAGACACTTTTCTATCCTTAGAAATATGGCAGAAATGTGAACACTCAGAGGAGCGTGCAGTGAACTCCGTGACATTAGCCGGATTAAGATCGGATAGGCAACTAAACTAACATCGTGACAAAGCGTTGAGTATCACGAAAAATGAAGGCGCTTCAAGCCGAGCTCACACTTTTGAAGACCATAACCCTTAAAAATTGCATCTTGCCGATGTGCATCATTGCGATATATTGAAACGAAATGTGAACCGCTTGCAAATTGCCGGCGATTTCTAATTGCCTGCGACATATCGACGGTGTAAGTCGGCAATCACATAACTCGTTTGCGGTGTCTGAAAATCTCCGCTTCTATGTTATTTTTTTAAAGGAAAACAAACTGATATCATACCTTGAAATGTTTGCAGAATTTTCTTTGCACAGAGAAGAAAAATCACGGCAGTTTTAAAGAATTGCCGTCGAGTAGTTTTCCGTTTAGAAAATAAAGTATGACAGGAAGTCTGCGACGTTTCAAACCGAGTTATGTGATTGCCGACTTACACCGTCGATATGTTTATCTAATCAAGTGCTTACCCAACAAGATCCACACATGGACTGGTCCCTGATGGTGTTCAAAGACTTGCAATACGGGTAAAAGCGCCTCAAGTCGAAGTTCCTGGGTACGTTGGGCATTATACTGTGGAACTCTGGATCGTAGATCTTCTCGATATTCGACGGGGGTTGGGCATCCGAGGAGGCTTCCGTGTCCGCACCGTACTCGATTGACAGTCCAATTTTCGAAAGCCTATGTCGAGGTATGTTTGTACTTATCAACTCTTGCACGTCTCCGAAGGTCACAGGTCTTCCGTAGTAGTCCTCTGCCTACCAACCCACAAAATAATACCAAATCATACATAGTCCGAAAAAGTCATAATCCAATGATAGAATGAGCACTATCCAAATATCCAATTATACCAGGAAAAATCGAAATCCACTTAATGTACAATTAGATGTCGACACTCCTGCAGATGGCGCGGCGTTATGAACAGGGCTCATGAGTTAATGACCACCACGAGGAGCTGCGACGACGGTTTCGTCACTGGCGCTTTATATTTCCCATTCATTATTATGGCCCGAGCACTAACGAGCAGACCCCATCTGTCCCACCTCCACACAGTTCTCTTTGATGGAAATACGTCCAATTGACATCGCGTAGTTTCCTTCTTAAAAAATATATTATGACGGGAAGTCTACAACGCTGCAAACTGAGATACGTGGTTTGGGGGTCTCACCATCGACATGCTATTCCTACATTAATACTCCGCTGATTACTGAGCGCCTCTCTCATCCCTACGCATCAAAATTGTGCGTTTTATTTTCATGTTATCAGAGCTGCGTTGTGTTATTCGATCAAACAATACGATATTATATTCCGTAATCAAACAACTAAGCTCTACTATTTCACTTGTATTCACGTTTCTCTCGCAACATTACTTCGCAACTGAAAAATATGCAAAGGAAAGACGCTCAGTTGAGCTTGCCGTTGATCAAAAGGTAAGTTATAGTCACCTTTGTGTGAGTTTGAACTATTCCAGTAATTACCCATGCAAGCTCAGAACTACTAAGAAAGTTCATAAAGCTTTTGATAGTAAAGTTACTTACGACCCAACTGTTTTGAGCAGAGTTGATCTCGCGAGCTAAGCGTGCCGGGTCTGGTATGATGATGGTGCTCTCATCAAAAGACACCGTAAATCTGAACAGCCCGCTGAGGACGCACAGCCAAACATGGATTTTTTCGCTGAAATTCAAATTACTCCACTTGAATATTCATCACGTTTGAAAAATTGAAACGCTGAGTGTTGTAAAGTCATTAAACTTTGCGGGAAATGTGCAACTCCATTCAACACGACGTGCGGAAACACTGAAAAAAAAGGATTGCTAATTCACCGATCTAGGGTGGAGCAAAATTTGCTTCACTTCGTAAAGCTTTCTTATCCGTGCACGGTTTTGAATCAAGTGAACGACTAGCACGAATTGCTACACCGATTTGCTACATCTGCGCGCCTTCATGCAGTTAATCTTGCATCGAGTGGCTTGGAAGTGTAACTGAATTTTTTGGTATTGGTACTTTGCGAACATCAAAAATAGCTCAATAGTTAGGCTGAAATAGCGGAATTTACGGAAAAATAGCGAAATTTACGGAGGAATAACTTTTTCAGTGTAGCAAAATCACCTACACGCGTGTGTGTAAGTTAGCTGAAATTTGTGTAGCGATTTTACCTGCATGGTTTGCACGTTCGTTTTTTAGCACACCATGCAGTTGAAATACCCGCGTGCACGGCAATTTCAGCAATATTTTTTTTTCAGTGAATGTTTTCAGTCTGAGAACACGGAGTGTGCAGGACTTACGTTGTATTCAGATGTTGAATGACCATTATCTTAGTAAAAGTCACGTTCGTTTTCATTGGACAAAAAATTTCGAGTGATGTCCAATTTTGCTCTTACTAATTGTAGCTTTGCTGATCCGGTCAAAGACGCACGTTCAAAATGTGAGGGCCTAATTTGACCGCGCTAAGCAGTGAGAAACCAAGTCACATCAGCTACTGTCACATTTAATTGGGCCATTTTATTTTTTACATGAGAATGGTTTTGCGGATTTTTTTTTTGCAAATGTCAGTGAATTTTCTGCATGGTACGAAGCAAATTCCTTTCAAATTTCAAAATATATAAAAAAAGGAGGTGTTGGAATCTTGAGGATTGTTTACCCCGTGACGTAGGTCGGTACAGGTACTCTAGCAAAATCCGGAATTAGAAGTATGAAAAATGGACCATACCGTCCAAATTTTTTGCTCAAATCAACTCATGATATAATTTTAAACATTTTTTATAGAATTACTATTTTCCATGAACTACACCACTTCCAAGAAAATACTTGATAGAAATCGTCCGTACCAATCAACGTTCTACGTCATAAAAAGAAAAATCCAAGATGCCCGAAATGCAAGCACCTCCTTTTTTTCTCTATGGCACAGACGTTCGTTTGTAAAAAATTAAAGTGCTCAGTGAAATTTGGCGAAAGCTGATGTGACTGGCTCCTTTCTGCTAAACGCGATCCAATTGCTTTTTTTAAATGCATGGCATCAAATTAGAACACTATGCAAACCATTTTTTGATACGATTCGTAGTGAAATCTGTAGAAACAGAGCTTTCCTCAATATTTCAATGGTTTCATGAATCGTCACCTTCCGGCCAAAGTATCACAAGCGCTATGCGACGTTATAAAATCTCCGCCGCTATTTTATTTTTTTTACAGTGAGAAATTGCTCAACGAAGCTGTCCACAAATGTCATTGAATTTTCGTGGTACTGCCGATAAAATTCAATGAAATTTTCAAACAAATGCAATCAACAATTTTTTGTAAACGAAATAAAATGGCGGCGGAATTTTTTAAACGTCGCATGGCGCTTGTGATGCTTTGGCCGAAAGGTGTCAAAATGAGAGCTCTCAACCGCGAGAGGGAAGGACGGGGTTCGGCTCCCATTTCTATTTCATGAACGACATAGACTGCGTTACAGGTCTCCTCAGAACACTACCGTGCTAAGGGACAACGCCGTATAAACGTTCGGCAGTTGCCAAATTTCTCCGTTTAAAACATGTAATTTTGAGAAATGTTGATTATTTTTCCTTGAAATTTTCAGATATTTTACATCACATTGAAAAATTTTCACAATTTTCCCGGTAAATTCGTTTTTATTGAAGGAAATATTGCAACTTCTAAATGCTCATGCGGCGTTCTTTCATAGCACGGTAGAATAGCTCGCCTCAATAATAAAGGAAACGAAATAGTGAGAGTGAAAAGTAAATTTCCCTTTATCTCTATAGAATTGCAGTCTACAAAATGAGAAATCTGTTGTTGAGAAAACTGAAAAAGAGGAGGAAACCCCGTTTGAATCCAATTAAAAAAGTTATATGAGCGTTTTCTATAAAGAGAAGTCTCGACTTCAAAAGTTCTCGTTCGTCTTCCTAAAAAAAGAACTTGCAGCTTGCTTTGTTATCGTGTGCAATCAACCGCGTTTGGCAGCGGCTCCTATACAGCTTCGCTCATAATTACTTCTTTAAAAATTAGACTTAGGCGAATACCATTACAGGTGTAATATTTGTACATCTATCTGGACTTTAAAATGCTTGGAGTGATAATATCATGCGATCAAGTTTGCAGAAAAGCTGACACACGGTATACCCTGCCTTGCTAAGAAAGAACGCCGTGTGAGCCTTCAGAGGTTGCCAAACTTCCTTCGAAAAATCAAGACTCTCCGAGTTTGTAAATGGTTTCCGCCTGATGTTTCAGGAAATTGGTTCGCGATTTTACCGAAATTGACTGAAAATTTCAAGTAAAAATAAATATAACTTTCTTCAAAGATAAATGTCCTCTGAGAAGAAATTTGGCAACATTAAGATGCTCATAAGGCGTTTTTCCTCGTTACGGCAATACAATGAACCAGTTGGTGACGTGTTTTTCCTCTTTTCATTTAGATTAGTTCTTAATAATTCCATAGGAGAACAGATTGGTCTGTTGATGGACTTTGGCAAAGCTCTGACAGAAATCTAATTTTCCATCAAATGAAATCAGAGACAAGCAGTCATTTTTGCATAATTCTTGAACCTAAATCCGAGCTTAAACTTTACTCGCAGCATAAAATGCATGAAAATTTTAAAAAATTCGTGAATTTCATAAAATTTCAAAACGTTCCTCGAATTTCATAAAAAAAATAGCGTAAAACTTCAAATTATTGAAATTTTGCGATAACATTTCACGTAAAATTCCAAATTCTTACTTTTCATGACATTTGTTAACTCGGTTACACAGTCTCTTTCAACAATTACACTTTCACGTAGGAAATCCCATTCAAATAACCCGCAAAAACTCAAAAACTCTGTGGACTTTGTTTACCTGTCGGATCTCATATCCTTAGGAGCGAAGTGACGGAGATTCCACTTGCGTTGCACCTGAAGTGTCAGCTGAAAGTGGATGCTAACATATTCACTAGGTTGAGACGGTTGCAATCACGCACTGGTGGCGCGCGGCGGCTTATAAGAGCCTCGAGGCGAGACCAAAACCAGGAATCTGACAGTTTAATTCACGAAAGGCGCAACACGCTCTTGACGGGACGTCAGACATAGCGTGCGCCCCTATAAATGCTGTTTTGATCTCTAAATTTTGGCAGGCTCTGAGGTCTTCGTGTTCGCGCACGGTTTGGGCATAATTAAGCAGGAAAGCAATAAAGAATGGTCTGCATCCTCTCATATTTGGAGCTGTGAGTCATTGGGATTTCCCGAAGTGGATTGTTCAAAATGATAAGTGGTGCAATCGCGAAACAACTATCCGAAAGCCTAGCTTGCATGCTGCCGTGCTGTGGAAAAACGCTGTATGAACATTCGAGAGTTGCCAAATTGCCCCTGATAAAAGATATATTTTTGAAAACGATTATGCGTATTTTTCCTTGAGATTTTCAGACATTTTAGATTTTAGACAAATTGCGAAGAAAATAAACTGAAAAAACGAAGAAACAAATTTACAATTTTCCCAGTAAATCAAGGTTTTATTGATGGAAATGTGGCAACGTCTGGAGGGTTCATACGGCGTTCTTCCCTAGCACAGCAGCATAGCGCACGATTTGACTTGCTTTGCAAATCTGAAATTGATTGAATGCAAGGTTTTATCACGATGAACCAACTTCCGAATGGACGTATTTATGCTGAAAGGAACTGGAGACGTGTGAAAAAGATGGGGATAAGCTCGCCTGAGCATGCGTAAAAAACAATTATGTAAAGGTGGACGTGATTCCTTTTGACAAAATGGAGAGGCGAGATTTGACATTAAATCAGAAGGAACTAAGCACCAAAATATGCTAACTCATGAGCCGTGGGCATGTGACCCCATCCCCACGTGGGTCCCCTGTTGTTGACGCTGACGTCACTGGCGCTTCTTAATTCCCATTCATTCTTACAACTCTCAACAAACGAATGAGGTTACTTCTTCTTTCCCACCCGAATCAGTGATTGTAAATCACTGATCAAGTTTTTGAAAAATATTTTCAATACAAATGAACGGCCTCTTTCCCTTCGAAATGATTAAATAGGAGAGGAAATGAAAGGCAGCAATGGGAATACGTAATCTCGCACTTTGGCCATCGATATCTCATTTGGTGCACAGTTAAAAATCTCTGTGTTTGATGTCACTCCGTGTTACTTTGTGCTACTTTTTTTGTGTAAGGTCAACCTAAAGGACTTGGTTGCTCAATACAATTATGTCAATCCATAAAATCCACGAAATCCTCATGAACAACATTATGGAGGCTTAGCTACTAGAAAACCAAGAAAACATATTTAAAATCCACCTTTTTTTTCGTGGCCCATGACCGACCTCTACTTTTGACTCGGTCCACCGTGTGACGCCTACAAACCCAAACTGATACTTAACGCATTGCGCAATGCTTGAAGTATCCATTTAGGTTTGTAGGTGCCACTGCGCGTTCAGCGCTGACCGGCCGCCTGCCGCCGAACTTGCGTACTCTAGTTTTCCTCCCCAAACTCAGAGTCGCCGACTTGCGAGTATGGCTAGCGCCTTGGACCACCACCCACTGACACAGGAAAAGCTAACACCGAAAAAACCAACCCACAGCTTGTGTTACTTCGAGTTTTACTTACTGTATTAACACAATTTTGGTTACTTGCTCTTCTTATGTTAAATTCCAGACTTCCCGGTGTGTGTTTCATTTTCATCATGAAATTTTGAAGAGAGAAATGATACTTCTTGCTTTGATTGATATCTTGTCGTTTCACCCATTACGAGCAGATGGCGCGCTGTCCCCCGAGAAACAAAAAAAAATAATTTCTCTCTCAGTCCTTAAAATTTAATTAATACAGCTCAATTAAAAACCTATCCGCGGAGTTTCTTTTTAAAGAGCTAACGAGCTGCAGTAAGGATAAGACGCGACTGCAGTCAGTAGGCAGTGATGAGAATATTTCTGCCGAAAGAACGAGGGGGCAAGTGTTCTCTCAGCCCTCCGCGATCCTATCTCAGGCGCCACTCGTTCTCGGTGAAGGGCTAACTAATGAGGTGGTGTTCTGTGAGACCCCGGGGGGGGGGGGGGGTGTTGGCGCCCCTCCCGGGATTTGCGGCAAGCATTGACTCGTGCGCCAATGCGGAAAGAGGCGCTCGAAATTTTTTTCCTAGTCAGTCAGGACGATATGAGTGAATGTTCCGTCGAGATTTTTCCGCGTCACAACCAGTGCCGGGGATGATCATCGATATTTCTCCATTTGAAGCTGTGGTAAAGAATCGATTATTAAGGGGTTCGTTGAGAATACCCTGTTTATCGATCCTTTTCCATAGGTTTAAATGAAAGATCAATCGATATATCGCAAAGTACGGCACCCCACTGATCACAACCACGAGAAACTACGCAACTGCAACATCTCTCTAGCGATTTGGAAAAGATGGTCTCGAGAAATTTCGATTCGCAAAATTTACATTACCCTTGATATTTTTACGAGCTGGAGAGTGCGTCCCCTAACCGCTCGAGTGGATGTGCTTCGAGCCTCAAGTTGCAAAGTTTGCGACAAAAATGTTTGTAATTTTGGAAAGTAGTACTTCCTTATCCTTCAGATACTAGGAGTGATTTATCACCAAAAATTCAAATCCCGAATTTTTCACCCCCTCGGTGGGTGCTTTGCCTTACGAGAGACTGAGGCAAACTTACCTCCCCCCTTCCACCCGATGCCGAAAATCTAGATATTTTTTTTCCCCAAGGGACTGATTATTAAAATTGATAGACAAAACGATAGACAAAGAAGACATAGAGAGTATGGAGCTATCATTGGTTGAGACGGGTGCTTCTCATAGACATAGGAAATGACGTACTATCCGTCGGGTCTCTCGTGGGTTGCCGTTAGTTAGTCTATTACTTACCTCCTCTGTCCAATCCAACCACCCATTTTAACCAACAGGATAGCTTCATTTTTCCTGTGTCTCCTAAGTCTATAGCTTTGTCTATTAATCTCAATAATCAGCCCACTGGATACCCTATGTCACTATTGAACAGCTCAATGGATTCTTTCCCGACTGATTTTATATTCGGGTGCTTTCCACGACAGCCTTTACGGGGACTGAATTGAGCAGGGAAAAATCAAGTTATACAATTTGAAGAAAATTGAGCTGGGGGCAGTTTGGAGCCAAACTTGTTTTTTTAGCCAATCACGTCTTTTCATCAGGTTGTGTAGAGTTCTAAAATTCGCTTTCCGCGAGTTTTTTTTTTTTTTTTGCCTCGATTTTGATGTGAGTGAGTTCCTTCGCGCCCAATTTGGCAAGAGCGAACAGGGAGGATGAAGGGGGGGGGGATCTCTCTCGTTTCACGCTCTATTAAATCTCGTTGAGAATTGATGGGACATCACTTTTTCCTCGCCGTTGATTGTAATAATGAATCTCTCGGCGGATCCTTATTTATACCCTGGCCAGGCTCCGCCTCACAGTAGATCGGGTCAATAGGAAAGGCCGGACAAAACTTAGAAACTTTAAGGGCTTATAACTCCGTTCATACAAAACGTTGAGGTTCTAAAATTGGTTCCATTGATTTCCTTGTGAAATTTCCTTTGCGATGCACCCCTTAAAATTTAAAATACGATGAAATGAACATAAAAATGTGCGGTTTTAGTCAAAACTGTCTTGCCCGACCTCTTTGATCGATTAGATCCACTGTGCGGCTGCCCGAGTTGTGGCACTTTTCTTCCCGCTCATTTGCCGCCGCGCCACGCCGGAGTCCCTCGGAGCCACCGCCCAAGTCCCTCGGAGCCGCCGCCGCGCCGCGCCGGAGGGGTTAATTATTCACAAAACTCAAACACTGACGAGCACCCAGTTTATCGGATCCTCAACTCGGAACCAAAGTTTACACACGGAGGACGAGCCGATGATGAGCGAGGCCTCGCTCCGACATGTTTGTATCTCAAGTGCACCTAGAGATAGATATTTATAGATCGATAGATATAGATAGATAGATAGACAGATAGATAGATAGATAGATAGATAGATAGATAGATAGATAGATAGATAGATAGATAGATAGATAGATAGATAGATAGACAGATAGATAGATAGGTAGGTAGGTAGGTAGGTAGGTAGGTAGGTAGGTAGGTAGGTAGGTAGGTAGGTAGGTAGGTAGGTAGGTAGGTAGGTAGGTAGGTAGGTAGGTAGGTAGGTAGGTAGGTAGGCAGGTAGATAGATAGATAGATAGATAGATAGATAGATAGATAGATAGATAGATAGATAGAATTTATTGATAGATACATCCTATAGTTAAAAGCACTGGCACAAGTCAAATTTACAATTTATACAACAATTGGAAGAGATGGAAAATTCGTGGAATGGGCCTGTTACAACTTTTTCAAGTGCAAAAATAAGAGTTGTTACTCATAGAAAGTGTCTCGAAAATCACGATGAGCGCATCGGTAAAGTCTGAAATGAAAAACCTCTAAAAATTCATGATGTGATGAAATAAACATCAAAATTCGAAAGTTGTGCGTCCGATCTCTCTCATCGACTCGCTTTACTGTGCGCCCCCTGGATTGCAAACCCTGGTTTCTTTGACCTGCGCCCGGACGTAATGTAAATCATTGAACATGAGGATTATTAGCTGGGTACTTCGAAACACTGCAATCAAAATTGGACGGCGTTGAGCAGACAGGACCCAAGCCACATCAGCTATTGCCGAATGCAATTGGGCAATTTAATTTTTAACATGAAAACGGTTATGCGGATTTTTGTGCAAGTTTCGGTAAATTTTCTGCATAGCACGAAGTAAATTCCTTAACGTTTTCATGAAAATTCGCACAAACTTTCTCTTGTAAAAATTAAATTGCCTGGTTAAATTTGGCAATAGCTGATGTGGCTTGATTCCTTTCTGCTAAACGCGGTGCAATTCATATTTCAGTAGTTTCACCATTGATTTGACGAACCACCTCGCAGTGAAGCCGCATCTAAGGCTGGAGGTGAGTCATTATCCCGAATCTGGGTCCCGAAGTTGGGAGCACCACCGCTGGCGGGAATAACGGGAATTGCAGGTTTAATTGGGTGAAGTGCTAGCAAGAGCCGAGTGT